AGTCTTTGGATCTATGGATGATTCCATTTATTTAGGTCCTCTTTGATTTCTCTCATCCATGTTTTGCAGTGTTCTGCATAAAGACCTTGCATATATTTTACTAGCGCTATACATAAATATCTAATTCTTGATGTTCTAATTGTTCATTTCTAGAATATAGAAATGCAACCGTTTTGTGGCTCAGTAACCCACCACTTTGTTCAACTCACTCCCCAGTTCTGGGAGCTTCCCCGTAGATTCTTTGGGATTTTCTACACAGAGAGTCATATTATCTGTGAATAGCTTTTTTCTTCCTTTCCAGTGTCTACACCTTTGTTTACTTTTCTGGCCTTATTTTACGTGCTCCCGTACACTGTTGAATGTTAAATAGGAGTGGTAAGAACAGACACTCTTTCATAACTTTAGAGTGAAAGCGTAAAGGATGCTTTTCTTAGGGAGAATATGAGCTGTAGGTATTTTATAGACTTTTTATTGGTTGAAGAAATTGCCGTCTACTCCTGGTTTGCTGAGAGTTTTGATCGTGAATGGATGTTGAATTTTGACAAAGGCTTTTTCTGTATCTATTGCAGGCCTGGTGAACTTTTTTGGGAAAAGTCAGATAGTAAATATTTTAGTCTTTGAATGCAATATGGGCCCTGTTGCTAGTACTTAATTCTGCCATGATAAAGCAACCAGAGGCAATACATAAAAGAATGACTATGGCTGCCTTCCAATAAAATTTTATTTACTAAAACAGATGCTGATCCATATTTGGCCGATAAGCCACAGCTTGCCAACCCCCACTCTATTGAAATGATCAGTTGATTTTTCTTTATTCTGTTCATGTGGCAAATTACATGTGATTGATATTTGAATGTTGAACTAGCACTGTATTCCCAGGATAAACCCACTTGGTCATGACATAGTTGCCTTTTTATATATTTTAGATTCAATTTACTAAAATTTAGTTAAGAATTTTTGCATCTAAGATCATGAGTGATACTGGCTTGTAGATTTTTCTTCTTCCGATGCTTTTGTCTAGTACGGTTTCAAGGTAATAATGTCCTCATAGAATGAGTTGGGTAGTGTTCCCTCTTCAATGTTCTAGATACGTCTGTATGAAATGAATATTATTTCTACCTAAAATGTCTGGTAGAATTTACCAATGAAGAAACTTGGGCCTGTATTTTCTTTGTGAAAAGGTTTTTAACTACAGATTTCATTTCTTTTATAAATCAAGGGCTATTTAGTGTATCTATTTCTTCTTTAGTGAGCTTTAGTACTTTGGGTTTTTAAAGGATTTGTTTATTTCATGTAAATTGGCAAAGTTGTTCATAACAGTTTCTTATTATCTTTTCAGTGTTTGCAGGAACTGTGCTGATGTCATTCTCTCATTCTTGATATTAGCAATTTGTGCCCTTTTTATCCCAATCAGTCTAATTGGAGGTTTATCAACTGTATTGATCTACTCAGAGAACCAGGCTTTTGGTTCATTTTTCTCTACTATTTTTCTCTTTATTATTATCATGATTTCTGCTCTTAAATTCATTATTTTCTTTCCTCTGCTTTTGAGTTTTATTTCCTCCTTTTCTATGATTTCTTAGTGTGAATACTTAGATCATAGATTTGAGACTTTTCGTCTTTTCTATGTGAGTGTTTAGTACTAAAAATTTCCTCTAAAGACCATTTAAATCACATCCTACAAATTTTGATATGCTATGTTTTTATTTTCATTCAGTTCAAAATACTTTATCATTCACCTTTAAATCTGTTCTTTGACCCATAGGTCATTTAGAAATGTGCTATTTAGCTTTCAAATATCTGGAGATTTTTCCCATACCATTATGTTATTGATTTATAATTCAATTCCATTTTGGTCAGAGAACATACGTTATGTGACTTGAATGTTTTTAAGTGCCTTTTTAAAACTTTAGATATAGCCCAGAATATAGTGTACTTTAGCAAATATTCCATGTGCACTTGAAAAGAAAGTGTATTATGTGGTTGATTTGTGGAATGTTTTATAAACGTCAATTAGACCAAGCAGGGGAATAGCTCTGTTCCAGTCTTCTCTATCCTTGTGGAATCTCTGTTTACTTGTTCAACTGATTATGAAGAAGGAAGAGCTGAAATCTCAAACTGTAATTGTGGATTCGCCCACTCCTCGCTTTAGGTCTAGCCATGTTTGTTTCACGTACGTTGAAGCTCTCTCATTACTTTCATCGACATGCACGAACATGTAGAATATTACGTCTTCTTGATGAATTTTCCCTTAACATTAAGCAATGACCCTCGGGGCTGGCCCCTTGGCCGAGGTTCGGGCGGCCCAGGGTTTCACCAGTTTGGATCCTGGGCGCGGACATGGCAGTGCTGGTCAGGCCACGCTGAGGCGGTGTCCCACATGCCACAACTAGAAGGACCACAACTAAAATATGCAACTATGTACTGGGGGAATTTAGGGAGAAAAAGCAGAGAAAAAGAAGAAGAAGAGGAAGATTGGCAACAGTTGTTAGCTCAGGTGCCAATCTTTGAAAAAAAAAGAAAGAAAGAAATGACCCTCTTTATCCCTAGTAATAGTCTTTTCTCCTAAATATACTTTGTCTGAAATTTAAGTAGCCTCTCTAGGTTTCTTTTGATTAGTATTAGCATGGCATATCTTCTCGATTATTTTATCTTAAAGTGGGTTTTCTGTAGGCAGTAAACAGTTGGATCTTGCTTTTTCATCTAATCTGACAATCCCTGCTTCCTGAACACATGGGATACCGTCTAGCACTATAATAATTTTTAATATGCTTGCCTTCTAATTCCAGGATCTGTGTCATTTCTGGGTTGGTTTTGACTGATTAATTCTTCTCATTATAGGTCGCGTTTTACTGCTTATTTGCAGGCCTGGTAATTTTTTGTAGACGCCAAACATGAATTTCACTTTGTTGGGCATTGGATATTCCTGTGTTTTTGAAAATATTATTGAGCTTTGTTCTTGGGCCCAGTCAGGTTCCTTTGAAGCAGTTTGATCCTGTTGAGCTCACTGTTAAGCTTTGCCAGATGAGACCAAGCAGCATTCACTTTAAGGCTGATCCTCCCCAAAACTGAGGGAACAGAATTCTGAGAACTCTGCCCAATGCCCTGTGTGTAGTGAGGCTTTCTCATCTTTACTGGTGGGAACACCATCTCTCTCTGGCCTGGCCGAGCTCTGGAAAAACGGTTCTGCCATCCTTTGGGTGGTTTCTTTCCTTCCGCAGGCAGTTTCCTCACAGCCTCTCATGGACGGTGCTCAGCTGAAGCCTTGGGGCAGCCCTCTGCAGGTCTCCAGACGCCCTTCCAGCCTCTGTCTCTACTCTGTCCTTTGAACTCTAGCTGCTTTGGCCTCTGCCATCTCCCAATTCCATCTCCTCAACATACTGAGACCTCTGGGCTCTGCCTGTGTCCCACTCACTGCCCTGGCCTGGAAACCCTCCAGGCAGTAAACTGGAACAATCGTAGGGAGCCCCTCATTGGTTCCCCCTCTCTGTCCCTTGCTGCCTATTGTCTGGTGTTTGGGAAATCATTGTTGCATATGATTTTTCTAGTTTTTTAATTAACTTGGGAGGATAAATCTGGTCCTTGTTACTCCATCTCGTTCAAACATGAGAGTTCAAATACTAGACTTTTACTCATGTGGTTCCATTGGGAATCCTGTAGCTGTGAAAAGTTCAGCATTTCAACCCTGGAAAAAGCTTCCGAGTGGCCTGGAAGGAGCAGGCCAGAGACACTAGCCCACTGCGTTCTTTCCCAGCGAGGCCACATCCCGCCTCAGGGACCTTGGGCGAAAGCTGCTTTGCCTCTCTGGGGTCTCAGCTACAAATGGAGAGTAAACATCACCCACAAGCCTTACCAGGTGCGCTGATGGTCAAGGGACCCTCCCCATTACAGAGACCGCACAAATGTTATCATGACCTGCGCTTCCTTGGGACCCCAAAGGCTGAAGCTCATACTCCACAGGCAAGCAAAGTTATCATGTAAATTTTTTTGTATTTATTGATGAATTATATATGTTTCCATAAAACAGCCTGAATTATCTGCCAAAATTTCCTAAGCGATTTCTTCTAAAGAGTATAAATGTGGCTTTAAGTATTCAGTGAGAGTATGACGCTGGCAGCAGTCTCTGTGGTGTAGACTATCCCTGGAAGGAGACACAGGAACAGAAGTCAACTGTGGCCTCCAGGAGGAAGCTGGAAATGGGGAGCCAGCTAGCGGAAAGGGACGTACTTTTCATGGACGGTCTTTTTTTTTTTTAAGATTTTATTTTTTCCTTTTTCTCCCCAAAGACCCCTGTTACATAGTTATGTATTCTAGTTGTGGATCATTCTAGTTGTGGCATGTGGGATGCAGCCTCAGCATGGCTTGATGAGCGGTGCCATGTCCACACCCAGGATTCGAACCAACAAAACCCTGGGCCGAGGAAGCGGAGGAGCACGTGGACTTAACCACTCGGCCAGGGGGCCCACCCCTGGATGGTCTATTTTTAAATTTAAAAATTGTACCAAGGGCTTGTAGTACTTACTAAAAATGTAAATTTGGTAACTAAAATAATTTGCATTAATATTTTTCAAAGCCTGAAGCAGCCTGAAGGATGACAGATTTGCAAACGTCTTCCCTTTCTTGTTGTCAGAACAGCCATGTCCCCCTGTGTGATTTCCGGGATGTGTGGAAAGTCCTTATGGTCCACAACAGCATCTCTGACATCTTGACTTTAGTTTAAGACTCTGGGCTCTGTTAAAATCTAAGTGTTCTGTGGGACATGTGTAATTTCGTGCCAGGATCATTAATTTCCTATTAACATTAGCTTTACCAAAAGATCCATTCACTCACTCAATAAATACCTACTAAGCACGGGCTAGGAGCTGAAAGGTGCACACAGTAGTGTTCTTTTCCAAGAACCCACAGACTAAGGCGAGACCCCGACCAGCCAACAACCAGTCACTATTCACATGTTCACCAGATACAAATGAGCTAAACCTACAGGTTTCCATGTGTTCCAGGTTGTACTCATGGAGTTCTGGGAAGACTGAAGGAGGGTGAGTCATCTTGACGCACTTGGAGAGCAGGGAGGGTGGGGAAGGAGAAGCAGGAGAGCACCCCGCAGGGCAGGGTGCAGTGAGGGTGGTCCCCCGAGAAAAGGGAGCCTCGCCAGCTAGGAGCTGCCCTAGACTGAGCCCCCAACCCTGACTCTGCAGGGGCCAAGTGCAGAGCTGCTCCTGGACCCACAAAACTCCACCCTGCTCCTTCCGCAGTAGCGGGACCAGTCCCACACAATTACTGGTAACAAAGGGCTGGACAGGAAGAAGGGAATTACCCTTTTGAGGAGTGAAGGGTCTTATAGAATGTGTGCCCAGGTCCAAGGACAGTGTCCAAGCCATCAGGAGCATTATCCACAGAAATATCCAGCGCTCAGCACTAGGGACGAGGCACCCTTGCTACACACGATTGACAACATGGGTGCGTGCTAGGGTACCCTCGCAGAGTAGGGAGAAAATGCAGAGAGAGGATGGAGAGGCCAGTCTCCGCCCAGTGCTGAAGCACAACCACACATTCTTGGTTCTGTGCTCACTGAAGGAAAGGGTGTTTAGATGGCCTCACCTCAAACGGAGATTTGCACTACTGTCGCGTGCTCAGTCCACTGCTCCTCGCTCAGAGTTAATAGTTTTCTGAAGTTGAAAAGAAAACGTGTTTGGAAATGGCCCTTGATTATTTACCAAAGTTTGATCGTTGTACTCATTTTTTCCACAGTAAAGAAGAAATCAAATAAAAATCAAAATGAAAAACTATCAGTTCTGGGCAAAACCCTTCAAACTGTGGGAAGATCTTCAGGTAAACTGGAATAAAAGATAAGTGGTTCCTCACGCAGGGTTCTTTCCCTGGTGTGAAGAGAAGGAACACGTCTGCCCCGGGGACCACGTGCCTTGTGAACAGCTCCCTGAAGGAGCAGGTGGCATGGTCAGGCCCTGGGGAGAGCAGCAGGGAGCCGCACAGGAGTCTCCTGGTGGCTGTCCATGTGGGACACCCGGCCCACCGAGTCCAGATCCGAGGAGTCCTGGGCCACATACACCATGTCCCCTCCCCCCCCCAACCAAACTGAGCGAGGGGCCACTCCTCTTTCCCAGGATCAACCGGGACGCCTGAGGCCACTGTCACATGCCCGTGTTGGCGGTTGCCTGGCCCTGGTGCCCAGGCCCGGGAGGTCCCCAACCTCCGTCAGACGGCCCTCGCTGCAGGCAGCCTCCCACCTGGGGCTGACTCTCACATCGGGGGGGCCACCTCCCACCCCTCCTCACTGCCTTCTCAGGTACGACTTCCTAACTGCTGAGGTTGGCCCAAGCATGACCTCCCGTGGCTTCTCCCCCGAGCCCCACACTTCTCCCTGGAACTTTCCGGAACACCTCCGAGCCTCTTCTCCAGGCCAGTCCTCCTCCCGTCCTCCTGTCCCTCCGAGGCGGACCTCCGTGGACACGTTGCTGGCTCTAACCCACACCCAGCATTCTGCACGCCACACATCTGCCCACCACCCTAAGTCTGCGTTGGTTTCAGGGACACGTCGCACCATCACTTTCAAGCTGATGTCAGGGAAACTACTGAGGCCTTGGGACACGGGCTGTGCTAGGCCACGTCAGTCGGCTTTTTGTAGATCTGAGCGCAGGACCAAACATTTACACCCGGTCACCTTCATTCAACCTTCATCTGATGTTTCTTGAGCACCTACTGTGCGCCAGCCCTGTTCTGAGTTCTCGAGATTTATCCCTGTAGACACAGACAGCCCTGCCCTCACGGAGCCCACATTCTAGGGGCTAGATGTGCCCCACTGTTCCAGCCTGTTGGGAAACTTCTGGGTCCTGACTATTCCTGCTCCTCCAGCCCCAATCATGTTCGAGGAGGCAGTCTGCCATCTTGTCCTGGTTTAAATGCCGACGAGGATGGGGTTCCAGACATGTCACTAGGGACCTCCCAGTTGCACAAGCTGCTGCCAAGCACAGGCTGGGAGCTGCTCTGAAGTGGGACCCCCCACTTCAGACTTTGTGGGGTCAGAGCCAGGCCTGGGCCCTGAAACCTCGGGCCCCATGGTCTGCACCTCCTCCCACAGCAGGACCGGCCGACACAAGCAGGGGAAGAGAGGGAGGTCAGTGGTCGCTCAGCCTGCTGCAAGTTTACCAGCCCGTCCTTCACCAGCCAATTCCCGCTGCTCCAGATATAGATGTCAAGGGGGGCTTTGGCAAATCCCAGCTCCCTGGGACGCGAGTGCTCCGACAGGAGAACAATAAGGTCTCCCATAAGTCAAGTGTCTAGAGACAGGGCCTCTCCCCTGATGGGGCCGCTGTAAGTGAGCCCCGTGCCTGTGCACTTGGGGACAGGCAGTGGGAGCTCCAGGAAAGACAGTGGGGCGTCCAGGGCTTGGGGTCCAGCAATGCTGGGACAGGGAGGAACGAGAGTCCTTGAGCCCCCAGATACGACATCACAGGAGTGGCTCCGCAGTGGGCTGCCCCTGAGAGAGGAAGGGACCGCCCAGCCCAGCAGAGCTCAGAGCAGGCCCTCTGGGTTTTGAGGTGGATGCAGTGGAAATGAGACATTGAAGGGGACAGACTAGCTGGGGAGAGCAGATGGCAGCCTGGCCCTCAGACACCCCTCCTCCATCCCTGTGACCACCTCCACCTGGCTCCTCCCACCTCCCTGCTGCTCCTCCTCTGGCCGCGGCACCCCCTACCCCAAGACCCTGCCAGTTCTCTTCTCTCCCCACCTCGCTCATTGCTCCCCTCACCTAAACCCGTACTTTCCGCTTCTCCCTCCATGCCATCAATGCCCATGTGAGCCCCGACCTCTCTAGGATTCTGTCCTGCATCTTTAACATCCTCTGAGCATCTCCAGGTGACGTCCAGCACCTTAGACTCAGAATGCCCCACCTGCCTCATTCCCCCACCCCCTGCAAGGACTTTCTCTTCTTCTGTCTCCTTCTAGTCGACACAGCTCCTCCCATTGCTGCCCGCAGACCAGGGACACATGAAGCTAGTCTCAGGCAGCTGTGGGACTCTATGGGGGCGTCTGAAATGCAGGCTAATGGCATGAGCAGAACACCTCCAATTTCTCAAGAAAATCTCTCTCCAAACAGGACATTCTTTCCAGTAAATGGAAGAGGAGGAGCATGGCTCAGAAGAGGCGCAGAGCGGTCAGCACGGCCGCCAGCTCCGAGGGGCTCCCTACAGCAGGAAACCCACCCACCCACCCCACCCTCAGGAATAAAGGACTTATGTAGACACACAGGTATGGTTAGCCACCCATAGAAGGAGAGCTGTTTCGTTCATGAAATCCGAAGAAGAGTTCACTTATTTAGACCATTTATTTAGACGTCAAGCTAGAGGGTATGTGGGTTTCTTTTCGTTGTTTTTTTCTAAAGGAAACAAGAAAATTATCAAGTCCGAGAAGAGCACCATCGAAAGGTTCCTCTTTTCTAACAGAATAAGGTCTGAGGAAGGTTAGCCTCAGAGCTTCTGAGAATTCTGTCCGTGATGAACCAGAGTTTGTAGTGGCCTGCAGGCCAGCTGCCCGGCTCCCTCCTCCTGCAGCCGCAGAAAAGCGCACATGCACGTCTACAAAACACACACTCAGTTTCCCTGCGCTGTAGTGTTTACAGGCCTGGGAAAGTGCAGAGTGGGTCTCTGTGGCATGGGAGAGGAAAGTGCGCCCCAAGTGGGGTGTCCGCCCCACAGCACTTCCTGGGGGGGCGACTGAACATATCTTCCGGCAAGTCTGCTCGTCCAAGCCCATCCTGACCCTGGGCAGGCTCCATGGCTGCAGACTCATGAGGTGCCCAGGCTGGAAAGAGTTACTCAGGACAGGTGTGGTTGTCCCGTTTCTCCACAAAGGCAGGTCCGGGGAAGTTGGTGAATGCTATACCAGAACGAGCCTGGATAGAGAACTCCCGTCCCGAGACACAGTCTTGGCAATGGATTGGTATTTGTTCTAAAACACCGTTTTTCAAGGTAGTTGGGAACTGAGTTAAACTAAACCATTTTGGGGCCAGCCCCATGGCCGAGTGGTTAAGTTCACGCCCTCCACTTTGGCAGCCCAGGGTTTCAATGAGCACATCAGGCCATGCTGAGGCAGCGTCCCACAGGCCACAACTAGAAGGACACACAACTAGAATATATAGCTGTATACTGGGGGGCTTTGGGGAGAAAAGAAGAAGAAGAAGAAAATATTGGCAGCAGTTGTTAGTCGGGTGGCAATCTTTAAAAAAAACCAAACAACTAAATGATTTTATTTGTAACTGTGGGCTGTACGCTCTTCTCAAGAGAGACAGACGTCTTCTCCTCTCTTCCCTAATATCAGCAAGTCAGCTGTAACACCGAGGAGTGGGGATTAGAGGCAGAGACTTGAGGCCCCTATCCTATTTCCACAACACCATTCTGCAGCCTCTCTACCAATAAACAGGTATTGCAGTGTGGGGATTTTTTTCTGTTTTTATGAATATAGTTTTAATTTTTCTGTTTTGTGCTTGAATCTCACAAAACATTTTTAGAGTACTTTGTGATTTGTAAGCTGTTTGCATGCGCATGTTGCCACTGAACCCCCACCACAGTGCTGGGAGGGAGCTGTCACCTCCACTTGGTCTCCACTCGGAGACAGCAGGCGACTTTCCCCTTGTCACACGGTCACATGGTCCGTGGTAGACCCAGTGCTCTGTCTCGGCCTGGGATCTTCCTGCCACACGTTCTAACAGTCAACAGCATCACGCTTTCCAAGCAGGATCTTCCAGAGCTGGTCCCCAGGAGAACTTTGACAGAGCAAGACCGACCTCAATAAAACAAAGTATAAAAACATCGTTGACTTGGCCTCTCCCTTTCCCTCACTCCATTCCTGATCTCGTGGGATCCCTGATGGCAGGGATTTTCAAAGGCTGAAAGTTTAATGCTTTCATGTTTGACCCTATCGGAATGTCTTCTCTCAGTGACGGCATCAACAAGGCCGAGTCAAACGTTGGTTCTCAGTGCCATCGAGGCTCACGGAGAGTCCAGGCCGCTTCTCAGGGTTAGGGACCTTCAGCCACTGCTCTCAGGAGGCTGAAAGGACAGCTGAGGAACTAAATTTATGAACGAACACATAAATATTAGTATTAGCTAGCAAAAGTCAAGTGATGACTTGGCTTATGGGCAGTAAGCGTTAAAAAACGTGCCTTTGAACTGGAAGTGGGCCTTCCACTGGGTCCAGAGCCGAATGGGACCCTCCATGGAGAAGAGTCAACCCTCTCAGGAGAGAAGCACAGTGGGTCACTGCGGGCACTGCCGCCCTGGGAGCCAGAGTGACGCCCTAGTACATCCTATGGGTTAGAAAAATGTTAAAAAATACTGATCTGCTCTGTATGATTTCAACTTTGTGAAATTTACTGAGGGCTGCTTTATGGCCAAACATGGTCAATTTTAGTGACTGTTCTATTTGGAACTTAGGAGGAACGTGTATCCTGCTGTTGTTGGGGACAGTGTCCTGCAAAGGCAATTGTGTGGTTTCCCTTTTCTCCTCACCAACTGACCTTTGTCTATTTGGTCCATCACTTTCCGAGGGAAGTGTGTTAAAGTCCCCCACTACGATTGTGAGTGATTTATTCCTTTACAATTCTGTCAACTTTGCTTCATATATTTCAAAGCTATGTTATTAAGTTCGTAAAGACTAAATTATTGTATCTTTCTGGTGGACCAAAGCCTTTATTGTTGTGAAATGTTCCTCTTTATCCGTAGTATTTCTTCTTACCTTAAATCTAGTTTGTCTGATATTAACATAACCACACTAACTTTCTTTTGGTCAATGTTTGCACGGTTTATCATTTTCCATCCTGAACGTTCAATGTTTCCACTCATCATATTTAATGTATATCTTTTTAGGCAGTATATAGAAGGGCGTATTTTTTAATTCAGTCTTTTTTGTCTTTTAATTAGACTATTCAATCCATTTACGTTAGACATAATTAGTGATGTGGCTGGGCTTACATCTACCATCTTACCACCCGTTTTCTATTTGTCTCACACACCTGTGTTTTCTCCTGCATCCCATTACTTGGATGGATCTAGTATTTTTTCATTCCATTTCTCTCTATTAGATTGCTAATTATACATTCTTTTAATATTAATTTAATGGTTATGCTAAAGATTACAATATGCTTCCTGGACTTATTATAACTGAAAATAAATTAGTACTTTGACTACTTCCTGGGAAATGCAAGGCCGGAAGGATACTTAACCCCATTTACTAACCATCTTTTGTATTATTTTCATCCTGAATTTTAATTGCACTTATATTTTAAATGCTACAAAACATTATGTAGTTTTATACAGTTAATATTCATGCAGATTTACCCATATATTTACCCTTTCCTTTGATCTTCATTCTGTTGTGCATTTTTAATGTTTTCAACGGGTCATATATTCCGTATGACTGAATGACTCCTTTTAGCATTTTAGCGTGGATCTGGTAGATATATTATCAAGTTTTTGTCTGAGAATGTCTTTACCTCCATTTTTGAGGCATATTTTTAGTCAATATAGAATTCCAGGTCAGCAGTGATTTTCATTGTTTAAAACAGAGTTTCCATTGTCTTCTCAATTCCATCATTTCCATCTAGAAGTCTGCTGTCTCTGTCAGTGCTCTTTCTTGCTCCTTTTACAGTAATGTGCCTTTTTTTTCCTCCGGCACTTTTAAGAATTTCTCTTCGTCTTTTGACTCCAGCAGACTTACAGTGATATACCTGGATGTAATTTAATTGCATTTATTATGCCTGGGGTTTATAGTGATATTTGAACTTTTGCCTTGGTTTCTTTTGTAAGTTTTGGAAAATTCTTGGGTTTCAATTATTGACTCAATTATTGATTCTGCACCATTTTTTCTCTTCCCACTTTTCCAATTGTACGTGTTAGATCTTTTCCCTGTGTCCCACATGTTTCTTATAATTCTTTTTATTTCCCATTCTTTGTTTTCTTTGGCCTTTATCCAGATATTTTCTACTGACCTATTTCCAGAGAAACTGCTCTCTTCAGCTGTGGCTAATTATCTATCTTGTACTAAATTTCAATCACTGTTGGCTTTTTTTTTCTTTTTTTGCTGAGGAAGATTAGTCCTGAGCTAACATCTGTGCCAATCTTTTCTATATTTTGTGTGTAAGTTGCCACCACAGCATGGTTGACAAGTGGTATAGGTCCACACCCAGGATCTGAACCCATGAACCCAGACTGCCAAAGTGGAGCACACTGAACTCAACCACTACACCACAGGGGCAGCCCCTCAATCACTGTGTTTTTTAATCCTAGAATTTCCATTTGATTCTATTCTATGGATTCCACTTCTCTGTGAAGTTCACCATCTTGTCACTGTTTTATTGAATTATACTTGTCAGTTATTTTTTATCTGTATTCAATAATTTTAGTATCTGTTTCTATTGCCTGGACACTTGGTATGATCGGTGCTTTTTGACTGAATGTCGGACATTGTGTTGTAGAAAACTGGAGACATCCTGGAGGGCCTTCAGCTCTGGCATCCAGTTAGAATAAGGACAGATCATCTTGAGTTACTGTGACATCAGGTTTCAATCTTTGTAAGATCTGATCTATTTCCAGTTTCTCTTGTTTGTTTATTTCTACGAGAGTTCCAATTTAAGTCTCAGAGAATTTACCAGGCCCTTGAGGCTCATGGTTATGTTCATGCTGTGGGACTGCTGGAAAGCTCTCTCGAGCTGCTCAGCCTCTTGGCTCCCACTTCCTGCTCACCCAATCTCAGCATGTACAGCTCAGGACTTGGAGCACACTTTGAGGGGACGAGCAGTTCAAATGGTTAGACTCACCACACTTCACACGCCTTCTCTCTGGCACCTCAAGTCCTGGCTGTTTCAGAAGCCCTGAACTCACATTTTTGTCTCCCCCCCCACCCCCCAGGATATTACTGAAAGCCACTTAGCACCCACTTTCTGCTGTGCTTCTCAGGCTCTCTAACTGTGACTGCATGAGAGTTAACAAATGCCTCTAGGGGACGATGGGCTTAGAATATAAAGCTCAGAGCAGTGAATTTTCCTTCTCTCTAGAATCTTGAGCCCTCAAGTTCCTGGGAGCTTTCCAATCTACACTTTTATATTTTAACAAGTTTTCCTAGTTGTTTTCAGTAGGATAATTGGTCTGCTACAAACTAGCTCACCACTTCCAGAAGTGGAACTCAGAGAAACATTGTTCTATCCTGTCCACATCCGGGATCCAAACTGGTGAACCCAGGGCCACTGAGAAGTGGAACGTATGGACTTAACCGCTGCACCACCGGGCCAGCCCCAAGACTTACCTACTTTTATAGCTAGAAAAATAGCACAAAACAGGATTCCTTCTTGTAACTTGTGGTCTTTCTGATCACAAAACAATGCTATTGACTATCATGAGGGAACATTTTGAGTTATTTCCCCTGAATCAGTTACAGTCCCCCATTCACCATAGACCCATCTAAGAACCCCTCCCTCTGCCCTAGACTGGGCGCCATCCTCCAAGAGTCTTACAGTCGTATAATCACCAGACTGTAGTCCCAATGCGTGTCAGTGTCTGCTCAGCACACGTCCCAAAGGAAGGAGGAGAGGTGATTCCTACCTTTGCTACTGGGGGTCAAGCTAAAGAGGCAAAGAAGATCGACAGGAAAGAGAGGAGTGGACAGTTAAAGAGGAAAGAAGCTATTTTAATTTGACATGCAGAGAACTCATCATTAACTCTCAACCTCCCCTAAGAACTATGGAAGGAACTATGAGGAAACAGGTAGGGAGTTTTTCTCTCCTGTTCTGGTGCAGACTTAAGTCATTCCCCAGGTAAATCTGATCAAAATGCAATGTGAAGTAGTTTTACTCTTATTTTAGGTATCTAACTTTCAGTAGTATGGGAATGGATCCTAAATCAGCCCTTTATAAGGGCAATAAAACAATTGATTGAGAAACCCAAACTACAGAAGAAACAATACACAGTTTCCTGATAGGTAACTTGATCCATAAACACAGAAGAGAAATTCCAGATAACGCGTCAGTGTGATTATTTGTGATCCTAGTGCTAAGTTAGAATTCCTCCTCATTGGTAGAGGCCTTCGCCAGCAACTCCTCACACACACTCACTCACTCACCAGGTACGTATGAGCAGTTTCCTTCGCGAAGCACCTTGCCGAGGTCCTGTGGGTACTAGTCTTACGCGGGTCCCGAGGCTGCTGCCTTGGAGCCAGGCAGTCGTCTACACAGCCAGATCATCTGCTTCCATCAGCCGGATCTTCTGGTGCTGTTCCCAGCACTTGTGCCCTAGCCCTTAACCTATATTGGCGCTAACGTGCGATGCTCAGAGAACCCTCGGTTTCTCTGCCTGCGGTGAATTCAACACCAATCTTTAAACTACAGAGTTCAGGGTACAGTGCTCACTGCTCCTGTTCTTTGGGTTTGTGGCTGGTCCTCCAGATCCTTGCAGTGTTGGACGTGTGGATGGTGAGACACCAGGCGTAACTCCCCGCAGATGGGCTGGATGGCTGCAAATGCCCTGGGGCCACCTCTGCTCTTCCTGATGTCACCACAACACTCTCCACTATGTGCAAATGTACTTTCCTTTGGGGTTATTCTGATCCCTCCCCTCCCCAACCCCAAGTTCAGGAGCTCTGGGTTTGCCTGTTTCCGTAGAACCCTGCCTTCCTTGCAGGTGTCAGGAAATAGCTGGTTAACTGTCTCCCAGATTAGTGGGTCTCAGAGTGAAGTTCCTGGATGATCAGCGTCCATATCCCCTGGGAACGTGTTAGAAGCAAAAACACTCAGGCCCCACCCTGCGACGTTACTTCAGGAGATTCTGGCACCTGCACAGGCTGAGAGCCACTCCCTCAGGCTGTTATATTTTAAAACATAAACCCAGATGAAACGCTGATGGACAGTCACACACTTAAACTTTTGTCCGAGATCCCTCAGCGCCTCACTTCGACTCCAGAGGAAGTTATCTCCATCACATAGTCAGTGTCACAGGCCAACGGACGTGCCCAAGTGAACAGATTTCCATTCTGCAGCTTCTGAGAATCACATTTCAGAGGCCAAGGGACCCAAGCATCCTCCCCCAGCAGTGACGTTAGTGAGAAACTTTAAACTCCAGGAGGCAGAAGGGAACTCGAGAAAGTCAGTCGTTCAGGCAGTCGTTCGCAGAGCCCGGTCATCGCCTCCACGTAGACTCCAGCGCGTCTCTGCTTCTCGGTGTTTCACCTGAATACCTGTCGGCAAAGCTGAATACCTGTCGGCACAGCACACGCTCTGCGGCCACGCCCGCTCCAGGAGTCTCGCCCGCCTCCCCGACAGATGCCGCCTTCGTGTGGCTCCCACGCAGGGCCTTGCGGACACGGTTGCTGCCGTGAGCTCCTCCGTCATGCCCCACACTGCGGCTTTCCCACGAGGAGGCGGATGCGGCGTGGTGGGTCCCCGGTCTCTCAGTGGCCGCTGTCTTCGCTCTCCAGGCTCCAAGCGACTCAAACAAAACTTCACAGCCCCACATGGCCCCACGCCCAGCGCAGCCATGCGGGTGTCCGGATGCGACTTTGTCCCTGGAGAACTTCACGGGCAGCGCCGGGCACCATCATCGTTTCGGTTCCAAGTGGCAGAGTCCCGTCCCCTGGAGCTGGTGCTGATCCCGTGGAGTGCGTCTTCTAGAACAGCCCTGCAGAGAAGAATCCGCCTCCTGGTGCAGTCGGGAGTAAAGTACCTCTTTCCCCACGGGACAGTGAGCAGGAGGCCTGTGATTCCCAGGGTCTCTCTGGAAAGTCATCTGACAGCCTTTCCCATGACAAAGGCAGTTTCCGCTCTGGCGTGGTCCTTCCTCTGCCCCCGCCTTGGAACAGGAAACACGCCTGTCCTGCCATGGCCCACGGCAGCCTCGCTCACAGGCTAGTGGACATGCGCCCCATGGGAATGCACATACACACACGTGCACACACACAAATGTGCACACACAGACACACATGTACAGGGGCGTGCACACTTGAGGCCATCTGTCCCCACATGCCCCGCCCCCACAGTGTGCTCAGTGACTTGTGCCTGAGCTGTTGTGCGCAGAGACCACCATGCCCCTGCGATGGCATGTCTCGGACGTCCACTCAGTTACAGCACCAGGGGGGCCAGTGCTCAAGAGCCCCACGCAGCCCTCCACAGACGCGCCCAGCTTGACCGCAAACCTTGTCAGGTCAGCAAATGTTTCCTGTGAAGGACCAGAGGGAAAACAGTCAGCCTTGCGGGGCACACGGTCCCTGCCGCAACTCAGCTCTGAGCCTGTAGCGCAAACCAGCCCGTGCTCGCCCAGGCAGCACAGGCACTAAACTGGAACGACACAGAGAAGAGTGGCACGGCCCTGCACAAGGACAACACGCAAATTCGTGAAATAGTCCGTGAAAGGAAAAAGCAGCAGCCACAGACAGTCCCTAGAAAATGGGAGTGGCTGTGTCCGGATACACCGCATTTACAAAAGTACGCAGGGAGCTGGGTTCAGCCCGAGGGCACAGCCAGCCGCTTGGGCCAGCACCGTCCACAGGGTTTCTCAGCGAAGGAAACGTCCTCCGTGGGCAGCACCCGGTGCAGGCACCACGGGCCGCTCGGGGCTCGTGAGCACTTGAAACACGGCTCCATGTGACTGAAGAGCTGAATTTTTAATTTTATGTAATGTTAATTAATTTAAATGTAAATGACTGACGTGGCTGGCGGCTCCAGCACAGCCCAGCTCTGAGCGAGGCTCGAGACTCGTGGGACTGAAGTCCGCTGGGGACTCGCAGGTCTCCTGCGACTTCCACTAGGAGCGTCTCTGTGTGTGCACGGGGGCCAACTTTCCAGCCTTATGCCCTCCACCCTTAATATTTCGTTCAGACCCAAAGAAGGATTGCTCCTGTGACAGACCAAATTGCTGCATAGTTTTAGACAAAAGAGAAAAAATTTCATTCTAGTCTTTAAGAGGCTAAAAGTGTCAAGCCCAGAAAACACTTTTTAAAAAAGACATTACCTTTTAAGTGGCCAAATAGACTTTAAAAATATTTGTCAGAAAATGTTTTTTAGCTAAAGATCCCACATGGTGTTTTTCAACTCAGAATGCACTTTTACTGATCAATTCTAAACCACAGATAATAGAGCTGCATGAGGCAGCTCTGGCAGCCCCACACCGCAGGGGCTCGGCGGACACACCCAGCAGGGAGTCCGCGACTGCGTCCAACAGGAAGAGAGGATGGGATGACCCAGGGGGATGCACAGCGGGGGGTGCCCAGCTCCACCACCGGCCACCCCATGTGCTTGGCAATGCCACAGCCCTGGAGGGGATTCCAGGCTTTTTAACTCAAAATAAGAGATGGCACTCAGCTCACAGGTGGTTCTAAGGATTAATTTATGCCATCATGAAAAACACAAATAACAATTTTGAGTAAATAATGACCACTATTAATAAGAACAACTGACACCCCCCTCACCACCAGTGAGGGCTGACTATGTGCCAGGCACTGTCTGAGGTGTCTTTATGTGGATTATCACATTCCTTCCAACAGTCCTGTAGGGACATACTGCTGCCATGTCCCACTGCCATCACTTATGGTCATCACCACTGCCATCCCCCACTGCCATCACCTACAGCCATCATCACCACTGCCATCCCCCACTGCCATCACCTACAGCCATCACCACTGCCATTATCTACAACCATCATCAACTGCCATCACCACTGCCATCATCTACGACCATCACCACTGCCATCCCCCACTGCCATCACCTACGGCCATCCCTCACTGCCATCATCTATGGCCATCACCCACTGCCATCCCCCACTGCCATTACCCACTGCCATCACCTACGGCCATCCCCCACTGCCATCACCACTGCCATCGCCCACTGCCATCACCTACGGCCATCACCTACGGCCATCACCACTGCCATCCCCCACTGCCATCACCTACGGCCATCACCACTGCCATCATCTACGACCATCATCAACTGCCATCACCACTGCCATCACCTATGGCCATCACCCACTGCCATCACCACTGCCATCCCCCACTGCCATCACCTACGGCCATCCCTCACTGCCATCACCTATGGCCATCACCCACTGCCATCCCCCACTGCCATCACCTACGGCCATCCCTCACTGCCATCACCTATGGCCATCACCCACTGCCATCCCCCACTGCCATCACCTACGGCCATCCCCCACTGCCATCACCTATGGCCATCCCCCACTGCCATCCCCCACTGCCATTACCCACTGCCATCACCTACAGTCATCACCCACTGCCATCACCACTGCATCCTCCCTGCAGCCCTGTGAGGGACACACGCTATCACATTTTCATGACCTGTATTAGTCAGGGTTTTCCAGAGAAACAGAATCTATAGGATCTGTGTCTGTGTTTGTGTCTGTGTGAGAGAGAGATTTATTTTATGGAATTATCTCGCCCGATTGAAGGACTGGCAATTGTGAAACCTGCATGGTCGGCTGGCGGGCTGGAGACGTGGGAAGAACCTGGCGCCTTCGATTCTGAAGGCCGTCTGGAGGCGGGTCCCTCTCGCTCAGGACACTCAGTGTTTTCCTTGAGTGCTCAGTGGAACAGTGCAGCCCACCCACATCGTGGAGGGTGGTCTGCTTTGCTCAAATCCCACCGATTTAAATGTTATCCTTGTGTAAAAACATACCTTCAGAGCAACATCCCTACTGGTGTCCAAACGTCTGGGCCTGGGCCTGGCCGAGGTCACAGTTCACACCCCTACGGCATCACTGTCCTTAAACAAACGGGGTCTGGAGGCACAGAGGCGCAGGCTGAGGGAGGAGGGGTCAGAGGCAGAGCCAGGACCCAGATCACTGTCCTGCGCTGCCTCTCCACGGCTCGCTGAGGATGACCACCACCGGGCCCTTCAGGAAGTTCAGGCTCCGTTAGGACTTGGCTACAGAGTGGGGACTGGGGGTCAAGGACTCGTCCCAGACATGTGTGCTCCCCTTGAAAACCCTCACCCCCAGCACCTCCCACCTCCACCCGGAAATGAGGTGCCCGACTCGCTCTGATGGAGCGAGGTGGAGCCAAGAGGAGACCATTTATAAAGGGATGTGTCTGCCTAGACAAGCCAGCCCTCTGGGCACCAAGGCACCGGGCTGCACCGAGGCTGTAAGCGGGGGACACCAGGCTGAGCTAACCATGAAAGGGTCTTAGGAGACAGGGGGATTCTGAGCGGTGATAAAGCCCTGGCTTTGGAGGCAGACAGACGAGGGTGTGAGACCCTCCCCACCCCTTGGTGTCCGTGTGACTGTACGCAAGGCGGTTACCCCATCTGAGCCTTGAGCTCCTCAATGCAACATGGGCAAACGGTAGGAGTGTGGGAGACGATGAGAGGACAGCACACAGCCCGGGACTGGAGCACAGACAGCACACTCAGCAAACGGGAGTCATCGTCACCCGTGACTCTGGACCAATGCTGCCAGTCAAGATGCTACAGCCGTAACGCGGAGCGTCAAAACTCTGGTACCTTCTGCACCTTCACCCTCAATGCTGAAAAGGCTCTCGATCAGGAAAAGGCCTAGGGAAGCACCGTGCCCGCAGGATGACTTTGTGGGGTGACCTAGGAGGTTGCCGTGTCTGACCCCCCCACTTGTCGCTCCCCGCCTGTGTCTCTGTTTGTCTCATAGGGCATCACAGACTGACGCTGACAACAAAGCGTGTGGGGGACAGACTCCTCCCTTGACATCTTCCAGCCACTTCTCTGTTTTCACGGGGGCAACGCATCTGGCTTTCTTTTTCCACATTCTGTAAAGAGCACGCAGCAGACTAAAGCCTGACTCCAGCCAGACGGCTCCTCCTCAGAGGAGTCCCGAGGCCCCGCTGTGCTGACGTCCACAGTCCCTGTTCCTAGCACCCTCTCCCCATCGCCCCACGAGGCTCAGAGAGGCAGGGAGCTGCCGGCGAGTGTGATGAGGCCGCACGGCCCGAGAACCAGACAGACCGGCTGCGCCACGGCTGCTTTCACTAGAGCTGTGTGACCTTGAGCAAACTCCCTGACCTCTCTGGAGTTCAGGTGCCCACCCGGGAGGTGACACTAGTTTTCTCTCGGAGCAGCTGGGCTGACTGGTGGCGGACACACAGTGGGGCCATGGCCGCCCCACTACCTCTTCCCTTTCGTCGCTGGTATCGCATCCCTGGCCATTCTGTGTGAGCCAAGCCAGGCCCTTTGCCATCCACACTGGCCAGCTGCCGGAGGCCCTCGAAACTCCCACTAGCCAGGGTCCTCACAGCCCTGCTGGACTTTGAGGAGGGTCACCCCCTGCGTCCACACCACCCGGTCAGACTTCACAGTGAAGCAGTTGTGATGGGGGCGGTAATCAGAGTCTTCACAGGTCTTTACTGCCTGCTCACTGTTGCGGGCAATAAGATCGGTTTGGTTTGGTTTTATTTGTGGTCCATGCAGCGCACTGAACCACAGGACGTTTTCACAGACCCTTGTTGGACTAAACTGAACTGAATTCCAGTCCTCCTCAGGCCGTGTGATCCAGTGAGACGGTCACTCGAGCTGGCGAGTGGACGAGAGGGACAGCAGCTACATCACGGAGATGTGAGTCTGCTGGGCTCTGTGGGTCTGCCCGGAGCAGGTGAAGCAGGTGGGACAGGGCACAGGTGGGCAAAGCGGGGTAGCAAGGAGCACACCTGCACCAAGGGTGCGGCCTCTGGCCTTTGCTGACCACACCCATGGGGCACCAGTCCCCGCACATCAGCTCTGCCTCACCTGTGCGGCACCGTGGGACCTGCCCGTCTCCAGCGCTGTGTTCACACTCGGTGCTGAGAGAGGAAACAGTCAGAAGCCAGACGTGCATTTCCATTGGGCTCACCTCTCCTTGGTTCTTTCTGACGCCCAAGTGCTACGATGACACCACTTTTGAGGAAAGCCACCATTTCTAACCAATGGCAGCCCAGAACAACAACCGAGTCCTGCAAGACAAAACCGAACAGGAGCGAGCGTGAGGTCCCATGAGAGGTCCAGGGAAGAGCGACGAGGTGACAGCACGTAGATGGCCTGGCTGTTTGTCCCCAGGGAGCTCAGCTGTTGGAAGTGGTGGGGCTGCCAACCCAGAAAAAGAGGGGGTTCCTCTGGCCATCTGTTTGTTCAGCTGAGTCAGGAGGAACGTCAGCAAACTGGAGTCCCAAGGAGACGAGGAATCAGGCCGGGGAAAGGACCCGAGGCTGTGAGCATGGGAAAGGGCTGAAGGATTTGTGACTCAGCTCAGACTGAGACAACACGAGACAACGACAGGAGGTCTAGCAGATAAGACCCCCAGGCACGCTGAGGGGAGACCTCTAGGGGGCGTGGGGCTCAAGGCCTACACTGGAGTGGGGAAGGGACGACCTGTGCCCAGACTGCCATCTCCTGGCCTGCGCCTTC